AAATTAAAATATTACATTTTGCATTTAATTTATTGAAATTAGTTTATGGATAAAATGAGTGTCAATGTAAAGAAAAGAAGAATAAACGCACCAGCTCTATACACCATGCTAAGATCCGTACTAAACGAATATTTTCTTCTGTAAGTTGATCACTTGGTGCTAGTACCTTATAGGCGTAAACTAATGTTAAAGCACGAATTTTTTTTCCTCCTGGAACATTGTACTGTAATATCTGTGAAACAGAGAAAGCATCATTATGTTGCATGATCGTTCAATGACTTATTATTTTAAATTTGGTTTATTATTACATTTTTTTTTATATGTTAGTGAAATATACTCGACATTTTTAATTTTCTAATAAATCTTATAAAATAGTATTTATTTATATGTACATTTTTGTAGGTATCTGTCTTTGAGTTTTAATTTTGATTTTCATAAAGTTATAATATGTTGTTATGAATAAAATTTCATTTTAAATTTGTATATATTTATATTATCTACATTTCACAACTATAATGTCCGATCATACTGAGGAAATTTATTCTCGAACAGATTAATGCAGAATAATCCGTATGGATTTTAATCTCATCTTTTACGTGTACATAAATCATATAGTATTTTAATAAATAATAATTTACTTTTGCCATCCATTTGGTGACATCAGAAATAATGAAATTCTTAGTCGAATCTGTGAGATCGCGAACAACATCTGGCCACAATGCCATCATCTCTCGACTTTCATCTTTGCTTGTGACCCATGTGTTTGTCGGTTGTGTTGCAGAATGCACCATTCGTACATTACAATCCATTGTTCTAAAAATAACGAATATAAATTAAAAATTATGACAAATATCAAGTAAAAATGTTGACGATCGCTTTGATATGCGTGCAAATAAAATTGCAACGTGATAAATTAATGAAAAGCATGACTCATGATTAATTAGAACAATAAAACTGATGCCTTTTATCGAATTTATATTTAATTTTTTGTTGTGTATTAGATTCAATATTTTTTATTTCGTCCGACTCTTTATTTTAAAAGAAGTTTCTTTAAGAAGGAAAGAAAAAACTCTCGGAGAGAACTGTTATATAAATATTTCTTTGCTTATACATGTTAGAAAAACAATGTACAGAACTAGGGTTATAGCCATTCCTTGGAACCGACAAAGAGACTTATTGCGCGTTCGTACGATTATTACATAAATATTAAAACGGTTCTTAATTTAAATTCACCCCTAGAACCTGTTACTTCCTATATGATCTATCATACAAATAATTATTACTTAAGTACATTAAAGAATTTAAATATTAAGAAGATGTCTGTTGAATAATTTAAAAGTCAAGCTTGGTACTTGGAATCGAATATCCATCAAATTGATGTCATAGTAAAATAGACAGTTAATGTTTTTGTTGTATTAATAAAAATTTCTATTATTTAAAACACGTTTAAGTTCAAGTACCTCCATCCAAAATGTTTATTTAAAAAGCCATTAATTTAGATTTTTAATTTTACACTTTTGCAGGAAACGTATGTTTAAGTGAATAATTCGATTTATCATGCTGGATGGTATTCTGAATATGTATGATGAAGGAAACTTTTTACGCGATGCAGAAATAAACGAAGCGATAAAGGTCATGATCAATCGCGGCACGCGATGTGGATAGATTACTCTTCTAAATATAGTCAAAAGAAATTTTAAAAAAAGTGGAAATAAATGACAAAAGTACAGCGCTTATTTATAGTACCTATTTTTAAAAAATTTTGAGATTTCTCTTCAGTATACATCCTGCCTTCGATTTGTTCAAGTATTTTTCGATAAACATAATTATCCTGAAAACTCGACTTAAACCCTCCTGGATACGCTTACGTCGGTAGCAAAGTAAATAGAAAAAAATTATTATTGACGCATGTATATATTATTTTAAAGTAATATACTAAGCTCTAGATTAAACTAAGAATTCCTAAAAATGAACCGAATGTAATATACAGTGAATGCAAAAACTATTCGTACAGAGAAAATATTTTAAAAAGTAAATATTATCCAGCGAGAAATGAATCGTCAAATTGATGTCAAATCGATATCGATACGATGATTTCAACATCAATTTAACGTCGATTTGATGTTTAATTGACGATCCATTTCTTGCTGAGAAATTAACAATTTATTCCTAAAAAATAAAATAGACTGTATGTTTCTTAAAATTATATATACCAAAAAGATGTGTATTAAGTGTAAAAAATATATCATTTGAAAAATAAGCGAAAATTAAAAATTATATTGTTTGAATGCTCAAAAAGTATTCGTCGAGAAATTTAGCTTCTAAAATCAGGAATGCATGCAAAGCTTTTTTTACTTAATTTATTTATGTTAGAACAGAACGTATTCATTGTATAGAATTGCTAATTAATGTTTATTTTCTATAAATGAGACTTTTTTTAATAAAAAATTTTCTTGTACAAATACTTTTTGCACTGACTGTACGTAAGGCTCTGAGCATCAGCCAATAACGTGTTTATTCGCGTACGTAAAAACAAGTTCATTTGCATCTGCGATTTATTTGAGCTACGTTCTAACTGTAACTTCAATAGGTGTTACAAGGTTACAAGTTATTACAGGCTGCATACGCAGTATGTTTCAAATCAAACAATATTATATCATACGGCGCGATAATACGGATATTTTAATTGTGCAACAATTATTAAATTAGAAATTGATAACCGACAATTTAAGTCATGCCATGCGTTTATCGAACGCAGAATTTATTTGTCTTTAGAGGATATTTCAGGATTTTCGCAAACATTTTAATACTTATACTGAATATAAGGATTTTGAAGATATAGTGTACTTCAGCGTCGAAGCTCTTGTGAATGAAACACATATTGTTCTTTTAAATATTTAGAATTAAGTTTGCGGCTGGAGCGATAATCAGTAATATCAATAGAGCCTTTACTAATTTCTTGGTATATGACAAAAAAAGCGCTAATAAAAGTGAATATTTAAAAGGTAAAGGTAAATTGAACTCAATTAGACTTATCTATGCGACATCAATGTTCCACGTGATAACCACGGCATAAATACGAGCACACGTTGCGAATCACGCACGTCGTTTCTGGTAGGCATGGAACGTGCAGCGTCGAGTAAACAACTTTATCAATGATCTAACAAGACGCGTTACGATCTCATGCAGTTACGATGTACGATAATATTCAGCGCGTATCTAGCGAAATATAAAAATAGCTTTCATATTTTATAACTCGAACTATCGTTGTCATCGCCGTGAGTCATAAGGCTTCTTTGTTTTATCAGAAATTTACACGTACGTAACATAATTATACTGACAACGAGCATAGCACCGAGCAACTAACAAATGGTAAAACAAATCTAATTGTGGCTTCCTTCGAAATACACTTGCTTTGCGAGCGAATATTGAATCGAACAGAAAAGGTCACAAAGACTCAAGAATAAAGTTTAACGAGCTTACATTTTTGCTTTGTCTAATTTGAATTATATTTATATCGATTAAAAAAAATTAATTTAGTAACATTTATTCCTGATTCATGGAATTTAATAATATTTTGATGCTTTAATTTTATTATTAATCATAGGCTGTTTTAATTTTATTATTATTAATCATAGGCTTAGTTTTTACATCGAGGATTCGATTCGAGTCGGAATGTAAGAACCAGTCAACTCCAGTCGAGCATTCTCTTGTCATTCGACTGAGAAATGCTCGACTGCAGTTGATTGATTCTTGCATTCTGATCCGAATCAAATCCTCGGTGTAAACTAGGCCTATCTATTCTCAAAACTTTTAGAGTGAATTTCACTCTTAAAGATAGAAGATTGAGCCACTCCTTTTTAAAACAAGTCAATTTTCAGAATGGGACTTTCAGAATGGGATTCTATTCCAAAGAATTTAGAAAGTAAATGTATTATAATATATACACAAGACAAGTTTTATCAAATCTGTTAATTTCGTAATGCGGTGCGTATTCTAACAAATGTGACACGTTATTGCATACTTTATTATTTGTATTTATAAAGTTAGGTTGTTCCATTTTTTTTATAAACTCTTCAACTCTCACTCTTTCACCCTCTCACTCTCTTTGCTCTTATACTCTTTTACTCTTTTGTTTAGCCATTGAATGAGTTATGATATAATTTATCCAAAGATGAAACAATCGTCCCGAAATGATGATTTGTAACGAGTATTTTATCGAATAATTTATCGTTAAAACATTCTAAAAATATAAAAATATTTAAGAAATATAATAACCCACGTTCGAAATCAGCTGTTCTAACAAAGCCAATGAAATTCAATTGAATACGACTTAATTATAAACAAACGAATAAATTTAATTTATTCGTTTGTTGCCGGCGATAAGGAAAATTAATTCAAATTGCTTGAGGCTTCGATAAATAATACGTGAAAATAGAAAAAAATGTAGAAAAACATGATTTCTAAAACCTAAATTCCTTCGCAGCAGGGACTCGTTCGCTTATCGATCTTTATGGATCGCCCGACAATAGTTCCTCTTCTGTGACAAAGCATGTTGCATTCGTGTCTTGAAAAATTATCAAGAATCAATGCGTGTAAAGGTATTCATTAAACAAACGACCTCCATTTAATCGCGGAATGTGCTTTCTTGCAAATGTTCGATAGAGAGAAAAAGACGGAAGAAAACGCACTTTAATTGATTCTTTTTTTATCGTGAATGATTTGACGTGCATCAAAATGTTAATAAGATATAATATGTTGATCGATTATTTTTTTCGATCTTATTACAAAAACTAAAATCACACGTTCTCTTGTGAAAAATTTTTCTGATAAAAACGATGAGTAGTCTAAAGTATTTAAAGATTAAACTTTAATCGGAAAGAAATGTGAGACTGAAACTATCGAATACTTATATCTTTAATACTTTATTGACTTTCTTTCTATCACTATCTTTAATAACTCTTAATTAATTTATCCTTATCTAATTTAATTATCTCTTATCTCTTAATTTATTTATTTTCCAATCAATAGTTTCTTGAAAATACGTTTTGACATCAAAAATGTATCAACTTCCATTATTTGCGTATATACGTAATTTTTTGTTACTCGAAAATGATAATCACATAAAATTTCGATACAATTTTTGAATCAACAACTTTTCGATTTTAACGACGTACATCGAAATGATAACGTTTTAAGGAACTGTTTCTACTTTCTACTTTCTAAATTTTTTTAAGTAGAACTTTGCATAGACTCTCTAAAGAATGAAAATTGAATTTGAAAAAGAGTGACTCATTTTTAATCTTTACGAGTACTGTTCAATCTTTAAAAATAGATTTTCGTCAGAATGAATTTATTCTAAAAGTTCAGAGAGTAACTCGGTTAAAGAAGCAGTGACAAAAGAAATATTATAAGACTAAGAGAAAGGAGCTCTTTGAGGGTGATATAGACCGCAAAAATTGTGCGATGCGCTTATTGTTAGTCAGATATAACTCGCAAAGTATTGGCATGAAAACATTTCGAATCAAAAGATACAATGGGCGATTCTTCTAAACCACAGCTGAAGAAGAATTTATTAGAACTCATCAATTGTATTTCTCATTCTCGTTTGTATATACACAAGAAAGTTTTCTTTCTCCACTTCGTGGATTCTTGTATCTTCCTAAAAGTGCTTCTACATAATTCGCAAATCGCGAAACGTAGTTAGTTCGCAAACGCAGACGTAGAATGAAGATTTGTTTATTTTTTCATTGCATGCAGTTGGTCTTCATCTGTGTGCGTTTTGCGTGCAATGATCGTCATTCTGTTTCAGCATTGGCGAACTACGTTTTGCGATTTGTGAATTATGTAGAGACACCTTTAATTTAAGACACCTTTATTCGTCGCGCTGTTTTTATTTTCTACGGGCTTTGACTGTGAATCATCTGGACATGCAAATAAGAATACTTTTTCATTCTTGTTCATTAGATTTACCGTTGTTGCCGCGATCAAAGAGAATAAATCCAAGAAAAACAAGAAAATCAAAATAATCCCAATTTGACGTCATATCGACCGAATTTATGTCATTTTTTCGTCAGATGTGATCTAAGAATGATTTTATATATAAAGTTATCAATTAGATTATCCGAGATCGAGATTTTTATCATAATTGAAAAATGATATAAACCAATATGACGTCAAATTGACATTATTTTGATTTTCTTGTTCTCCTTGAGAAACCTTCTCTCTCAAAAATCTTACAAAAAAATAAAATGTTCTATTCTTCTTCTTCAACGTTAGGCCTGTGTTACACCTCTCTCTCATATGCTTGTGGAGCACACGCTGATTATTCAATTGCCACAAACATATGGAACCTCCAGTTTTAATGACAGTTTTCCGAACGGCCGATTTTTCGAGAAGTGTTTCAATGGGCAAGGATATTTTCGGAAGGTTGCCGACCTTTTCCGAGAAAAGGGACACGAACGTAAATATTTTGTTTTCTACTGGAATTGAATCCGGGATCTCTGGCATGATAGATCAGTGCGCTGTTGCTATCTACACGCAAAAATTTTATTTTACTGGGGAAACTGAAAAATATTCTTGTCGCAGGGCGATCATCGCGGAGGTGATTCAATAATAATGCACTTCTTATCTCGTCTCACCTTTAAAGGTGCCTTACTCGTCACGCTGTTTTTATTTTCTAGGACCTTTGACTGTAAATCATCTGGACATGCAAATAAGAAGACTTTTTCATTCTTGTTCATTAGATTTACCGTCTTTGCTCTAATCAATGAGAATAAATTGCCAAGGAGAACAAATAAAACAAAATAATGTTATAAAAAATCTCGATCTCAGATGATTTAAATATGATTTTATATAAAGTTATTCAATTAGATCATCTAAAAGAGATTTTTATCATGACCAAAAAATGACATAAATTCCGTCAATATCACGTCAAATTGACATTATTTTGATTTTCTTGTTCTCTTTAATTGGGAACCTTCTCTCTCGGAAATCTTAAAAAAAAAATTCTATTCTACTGGGGAAACTCAAAAATATTCTTGTTGCAGAGCGATCATCATGGAGATGATTGAATAATAATGCGCTTCTTATCTCGTCTCACCTTTAGGGCACCTTACTCGTCACGCCGTTTTTATTTTCTACGAGCTTTGACTGTGAATCATCTGGACATGCAAATAAGAAGACTTTTTCATTCTTGTTCATTACATTTACCGTTTTTGCCCTAATCAAAGAGAATAAATTGCCAAGGAGAGCAAATGAAATAAAATAATGTTATAAAAAATCTCGATCTCAGATGATCTAAGTATGATTTTATATATAAAGTTATTCAATTGGATCATCTGAGAGAGAGAGAGAGATCGAGATTTTTATCATAACCAAAAAATGACACAAATTCCGTCAATATGACGTCAAATTGACACTATTTGGATTTTCTTGTTCTCCTTAATTGGGAACCTTCTCTCTCGGAAATCTTAAAAAAAAAATAAAAAATTCTATTCTACTGGGAAACTGAAAAATATTCTCGTCGCAGAGCGATCATCGCGGAGGTGATTGAATAATAATGCGCTTCTTATCTCGTCTCACCTCCAGCACGCCGTATTCCCGCGGCGCACGCTTATGTGTGTTACGTGCGCGTAATCGGCAACGGTGACGTCGGCGACGAGGCGCCGCGCGACACTGAGTGCCGACAGGAACCGATTCCGAGCAACGGACGACATGCCCGAGGTTTGCTGGAGCACACTCGCGTATTTTGCGCGGGTGCGCAAACGACACGGAGGAGATGCAAGAGAACGAACTCGCCGACCTCGATCCGAAGGTGAATTCACATCGGCGAGGAACCCGGCGCGAATGTGAGGAATCCAGCACTCACTGGTACTCCGAGTCGAGCATTCACCGGCCGGACTCGGGATTTCGGCCGATTTCGTTCGTTGCCGGTTGATCCGTCGACACGGGCGGGGGAGAGAAAATGAGAGCAAAAAAAGGGGGGGAAAACGTAAGAAAAGCTACGAGTAAACGTCGACTCGACGTCAGCGAAGCGACTGAAGAAAGTGCCTTCGTCGTCGAACCCTAACCTTGTCGCGCGGGCGCGTTGCACTTTTACGCGACAAGGACCGGGTTGGTCGACTTTATACAGTCTGACGACTATGGCGTGACACGCTGAGCATCATTGTTATATGTATGTGCTGCTCATTATGTCACGGACCAAACAGTTGTATGGTTGGCACGTTTCTAGTTCTACGTGGAAGTCAGCTATGATTATCGATAAAAGGCAAGGAGGGGAACCAATCAGTTCATGTCCGTGTACTTTGGACTTCTCAGGAATTTTTATATAAATGAAAACATTCCAAACTAGTTAATTCTAGACATTCCAGTTGTGTTAGAATTAAAGCGACTTAAAGGAATGGAAGAAACGCATATAAAAAGGAGCTGTCATGTGCCAAATATGTACAATCAGCACAGTGCTGAGTGGCTCCTCTTTAGCGTGAATATCCCTTTCATCTCTTTTTCTGAGAATTTAAAAAATGTTGAAAATCTCGTGCAATGCCGTTTATGTCCGTTTTATAAGTGGCAGTTACAAGATAACATTCAACACAAAATATTCCCGTTCTCAGGGATAAAATGAAAACAAGGGAAATCACACAGATAATTAAACATATTTCTCTTAATTAATATGTAACAGTTTTGAACACACACAGCTCGTCATCGCCACCTTTTTTTTTGTACATTTTTTTCAACTTAATTAAATTTATTATTTTGTCCCTACTATCTGCAAGCTTTCATTCTATCGTTTATTTATTAAATGGCCTGCTATTAGACGGTGCCGGCAACCTGTACTTTGCCAATTCCACTTCAGCTTCTCCGAAAGAGTCTACATGATAGCAAAAGTATTCGGGATTCTTGTATTCCTTATCCTTGGAGGCGTTGGGTCCTACAGCTGAAGACATTTTCAGTTCAAGCTGAAACTTATCTTAGCAAAACGTTCCTTAATATTGTAGAGTGATACTGTTTATTCTTACGTGTGTTTGGTACTTCGACAACATTATTGCTGAGACCTGGCACGTTGGTATTCACTGTGGGTGAACTGGTACTCGAAGCCTGTGCGCTAAATGTCCGTAAAGAGGACATAATCTTTAAACCCTGAAAACAACAGCAATGTTGTTGTAGAGTAGGCAGGTTAAGACTTACAAACTACACGATTTTAATGAAACGCGACTCCGTTTCTGAATATACACCTGTATTCGTCTCGCAGTAACGCGCAACATTTTGCGATGATTTATAAATAACAATTATAATTAAACAATTAAAATGTATACGGAGATTTAAATGTCCTTTTAACTATGAACACCGTCCTCCAATCTATTTTAATCCTCGTTCCTCGCAAAGAATTTCAATTGATTTCAATTTTATAGTTGGCAAGCATGAGAGAAACAGAAATGTAAAGACGTCTGATTGATCGGCTCTTGGAAAAGAACAATTCAGCGTTAAGGCACGTTTTCATGAATCATTCAAACGTTTTAACGATAAAAAGGATCAAGAAATCAAAATTAACACTTGATATTTGTCAATTTTTACCATATAATCCTTTCTGTTGTTGAAACATCTCGTTTGAGAAGCTCGTGAAAATGTACTTTTAAATATGAACGCGTTACATAATATAGTTATTAATATTTATTTATCGAATATTAAATTAACAAATATTTATCAAATATCAAATATTATTAGTATCTTGTATTTTCTACACCTTAAAAATATCTTTTGTCACTTTTGTGAATAGTAACCCAAACAGCATAAAGTTTAAAATTAACATAAGACATCTTTAAAACCTATTCACTACAATGTGATTTTTGTTTTCTGTTTCTTACCTTTTGTTATTTTTTACATCTTGTCTTTTTACTTCTTATCCGGTTTTTTGTTTTATATCGCCCGAGTTAACGAAAACCAAATTAACAAATTTCGAAAGAAACAAGAAATACGTAGCAAAAAATACATTATTGATAAAACGATTGCAAAGGAGAAAAAAGCAAAAAGTAAAAAACAAGAAACAAAGAGCACATTATAGAATAGGCTTAAATCGTCTAGATGCAAAAAAACGTTTTAGATCAGATTTTAGAGACTTTGTTGTCTGGGAAGAATTCATCTCTTTTTTGCTTTTTATTGGCTGCGTTTAGCAGAATGTTGATGATGCATCCAGAAGCATGACCGCTCACTGAGAGCTCAATGAGCTCTTTTATCTGTTTGGTCTACATTTTTAGATCTAGTGGAATATCAAATGCAAGAGCTCACTGAGCACTCTTGCCTAACTTCTGTTGGAAGTTTTCTTCGCGATGATTGGGGATTATGTCTTTAGATAAAGAGGAATGGTCCAATCTTTCAGCAGACAATTATAAAACGGTTACAGAACTGTTGTGTTGAACGCAACCATTTTCTTTCATCCTTATCTCTATCAGCTGATTCTACGGAAGAATGGAGTAAATGTAATTTTCAATATTGCCAACAGTGCCAACCGTAAGTCTTTTTATTGGTAGCAGTCAAGTGTATTTTTGAAATACAGAACTTGTA